TGCGCTTGCCAGCCAGACAGAGAGAGACAGAGAGACAGAAAGCGAGAAATCACCCCCCAGGGGGATGGTCACGCTGCAATCCCTTCTCCTCCATTCTCCTCTCGGGATCTTGGGCACGCACGCACACGCACCCGGCGTGAGATTTAAGCCACCAGGTCTGGGACGCGAACCGCGGTCGACTACGTGAGAGTCCAGCGATATAGCCATTAGGCTAACTGCTGGTTCCCTCTCCCCACATTTTATTGATCACACAATTTCTTAAATAATCTAACTATCTTAGATTAGATCTAACTAATTTAAATAATCTAACTTTCAACAACAAGTTCAGCTGGTAATTTCAAGAAAAACAGTTTTAAATGTAATAAATCAAAGAAATGCTAAAGAACTTTGCTTAAAACCTAAAGCCAGGAAACAGGTTAGGATTCTGTTCAAGTAGTAGGTACATGAACCTATTGACAGCTCAAGACACAGGACAAAAATCTGTAAAACAGGAAAACAAAGCCTAGGAGAAAATCACCAATGTTTTAGTTCAAAAGTCATAAAAATGCTATTTCACCAGTTCAGTCTCATGTACTTAATCTGTCTTCTGTTGTGGTTCGATCTTCCCTATTGAATTCTGGAATATAATATTCAACTCCAGACTTGTCCCTACAATTAAGTTGGCCATTTTCTTAGTTTTTGAACTCTCATTTCTATGTGTGTGTATTTAATTTTCCTGATATAGCACTCCCTTGAGAACTTCTTGGAGATTTGGCCTGGTGCTGGTAAGTTCTTTCAGGTTTTGTTTATCTGAGAATGTTCTTGTCTTTTCTTCCCATATAAAGGATAATCTTGCTGAGTACAGTATTCTTGGTTGAAATTGCTTTTCCATTAACACTTTCAATATATTTTCCCATTCTTTCATCACTTGCATTTTTTCCGATGAGAGGTCTTCTGTTAGCCTGATGGGATATACTTTGTAGGTAACTTGCCGTTTCTGTCTTGTCAATCTTAGTATCTTGTCTTTGTCTGTGGTTTTGGTTAATCTGGCTATAATGTGTCTTGGAGATCTTCTTGGGTTGATTCTATTTGGGGTCCTTCGTATTTCTTGGGACTGGATCTCTCTGAGTGCCTCTCTAGGTTTGGAAAGTTTTATTGCAGGATTTCATAAAATAGATTATCAATGCCCTTATGAGTCTCTTTGCCTCCTGGGATACCAATTATCCAGATGCTTGGATGTTTGATGGTATCTAGTATTTATTTCTCATATATTATTCTCGTTTTTGGGGCAATTTTCTCAGTCTTCATGGTGGATTTTTCTAGGCCAGCAATTTTCTCTTCTACGTCTGAGATTCTATTTTCTGTATGATCTAGTCTGCTTTTAATACTTTCAAGGGAGCTTTTGACTTCCTGTATTATAGCCTTCATCTCTAACAGGTCCATTTGATTCTTTTTTAAAGCATGTAATTCTTCTTTTAGATCTTGCAAGAATTTCCTCACCTGCTAGAACCCATCATCTCCTTTCTCCTTTCTCTTCTGCAGTTCATTGTCTCTCTTCCCTTTCATCTCTGTTAGCTTCGCCATTATGAATACTCTAAATTCTTTATCAGACATTTCCATGATTTCCATTGAACTGTTTGTGGATAAAGAGGAGTTATTATTTTCCCTGGGAGGAGAGGTATTTTCTTGCTTTCCCGTATTTCTTGTGGCCCTGAGGTGATTTCTAGTCATCTGATGGATGGTATGTTTCTTCCTAAATTTGAAGTTCACTCTGAGTGTTCAGGAGCGTGCAGAACGAGGTGATCTGAAATCTCTTTGCCATTCTATTTTGATCCCTTTGTCCAGGAGATTCAGTAGATATTGAGGAATATGTTAACCATAATAGTATTTGGATGTTTGGCTATAGTTCCCTTAGAACCATCTAGAAACACAGTGAATGGAGTTTGTGGGCTAGAGGCTGAATTATCACTAGAAAATCTTCATTTCTCTTTTCTTGAAATCACTAGTTCTCAGGAACCATGGAGGAATCTTCTTCTGAAGGCCTGCCCCCTTGCCTCTCAGGCACAGTGACTCTTAAGATTGGCCACTGTCTTGTAAGTCATGGAACATTGGGGGGGGGATGCTGGCCTATGGGGCAGAAGCCCTTGGCACAAGTGGCAACTGCACTCCAGTGGGGATCCCATCTCTGCCCTGTGCTATATAGACCATGGGAAGGCATTGCTAGTGACACCATAGCCCCTTCTGAGTCGGCAGGTGACCCTCAGAAGATCTCGAAGAATGGCAGAGAAACAGGAAAGCAAAACTGTCTTTATAGGCTCCATTAATCCTGTTTTTATTTTCTGTATTTAGTAATAGTCTGACATCTTGGGGCCTTGCTGATACTGGAGAGACTTCCCTTCCTAGGGATAGCTTCTTTCTAGAGACAGTAAATAACTTGCCTGTGAGCACACCTTTGATATGAAAAGCAACCAATTCAGAGCCATACTCTGACCACATCCTCTGTCTGGAATTTATACTCCAGGAGGCAATACCCTCTGTCCCAGTCACCCCAGGGCCAGGTGTCAACCAGGGACAGCCCTCATACCCTGGAGTCCACTAACTAGCCAACCCCACAGTTGGTCAGCCAGTTCCACTGCCCAAGCCTTCCCTTCATTCTTGTCACCTCCTGCCAGGTCGGGTGTTTTCCCATGTGGCACTGTATGGTGTGCCATGCCTCCTCTACTAACTGTGAGTAAAAACTGACTCCTTCAGGACTGTGGTCGCCTGATCTATTGGCATCTCTGATTAAAATAAATCTAGTCAGGACCAGAAGATGGTGTAGCTGTTATGTTGCTGGACTCCCATCTAGTTGACTATGGTTTGAGTCCCAGATCTGCCGGCTTAAAACTCAAGCCAGACACATGTGCGTGCATGCCCAAGATCTCAAGAGGAGAATGGAAGAGAAGGGATTGCAGTGTGGCCATCCCCCCTTGGGGGTGATTTTTTGATTTCTGTCTCTGTCTCTCCAGCAAGCACATGTGCCCTATAGCAAAAATCTCTTTCAAAAAAAAAAAACAAAAAACCAACCCAGTGGTACATTCTAGTAATAGAACCATAAACACTAATGATGGTAAGAATCTTTTAAGTAATTACATGCTCAATAGTTAACAGTCACTTGAAATAGTTTCTTATTTATTCTTTATAGTAATTTGTTGACATATCTCCTGTCAACAGAGATGAGGAAACTGAAGCCCCAAGAAGTCAATAACTCAGTCAGGGTCATGCAGGCAGTGCTCTGAGAGCTCAGGGCGATTCATGGGTTCTATGACTCAAAAGACCAGCTCAGCCTAGTGCATGTCTTATAGACAGCAGGCTCTCAAGGTCAGGAGACCCCTTATTTTCTCATGGAGA